GAACTTGCTGTTTCGCTTATTTGCCAACGCACCTCTGACGTGCACGGCGCTTCTCTCTCTCTCTCTCTCGCTCTCTCTCTCTCTCTCTGCAAGGACCGTAGGATCAGAAGAGGCGTGACAGGCGAGAGCATCCTTGGCCAGCAGGTCCGCAGACTTGTTAATCTCGGCAGCAATCTTAGCTTCACCCGAATGCGAGGAAACGTCTTGATGGCTCTTGACTTTGATCGCCTCCGTTAAAAAGTGCCTCCGGTCTGGCACCAGCGCAAGCTTGTGAAGCCCTGAATACTGCAGCTTGCCGCTCAAACGCTGAGGGCGCGGCTTGGCGTGCAGATCCAGAATAGCGCTGCAGTCGGCCCAGGCTCCAGCGAGCCCTGTGAGGGCCTCTTGGAGCACAAGGAAACACGTGTGCTCGCCCGCTCGGGCACTCTGAGGAAGCTGGGCCCCAACGGCGCCTCTGAAGGAAGCCACTGGGGCCCCGTCGCTGCTGCACGCCACCACCGAAAAAGAAGCTCTGTTGAGTTCTGGCATGCCTGACCTCATGCCCGTGAGAATAAACACTAGGGGATAATGAAGTTCGGCCTCAGCGCTCGCTGCCCAATTTGAATTTGTATAGGGCGACGATAATCAACTCTAAACACTGAAGGGGGGGGGGGTCCCTTTATTATCATCGGCATGCGGTTAACCTGGTGCAGGACCCGTCGGTGCCCATGAGCCCCCCGCAGGTACTGACAGTGTCTGGCTGGCCGTCGTGGCGGGCAAGCTGGACGATGGGCTTCTCAGCAGGGAGGGGAGAACTGCCGTGTTGTTCGCCAGGGTGCTCAACAACCCCATAGAGGTAGGGCGGGCTGTCCACGGGCGCCTCGGGCGCGGCCTGGAGCACCTCTGGCGGCAGCACCTCTGCCCTGAGGGCAACTGCCTCGGGGTGCTGACAACAATACAACCTATGGTGAATGGTGTCACCGTGAACGCCCCAGAGGGGACAACAGTTGGGGACAGCATACCCAAACTGCTGAAGTTGTCTTCGGTCCACCACCCTTGCACGACCAGGGTCTGCAAGATGCCCTTGTAACTGGGGCTCCGCTGCTTGCTTCTGGGAGCGAGCAGCGAGCGAACGATATCAAAACAGACCCTCTTTAAGAGGGGTGGGGCTGGGGAGGGACTTGGCGACCAACATTTCCCACATCCTCTAGCATCCTTGCTGCAGCAGGTCTCCTAGCAAGGCAGGGGTCGTATCGGTGAGCTTGATCGTCCTGCCGAAATGATCCTGCAGGGTGAAGGCCGAGGTGAAGCGCCAGCCTATGCGATCAAGAGCCTGGGCGGCTGCGCTGAACGGTCCTCGCACAGCGTTGTAACGTAGGCCACCTACTGGTTGCGCCGAATCATACATGTTTTTTATCTCAAGGAGCCCAAGAGTACCAAGAGTAGCGTACTTACCCAGAGAGGAGTTCCAGACCTCTTGGGCCCACCTAAGCACAGGCCCGAGGGCCCAACGATCAGACCTGGCACCCGCGACGGCAAACGCCGCACTCCTAGACTTCCTGGACGAGCAGGGGATACGTTGAGCGAGCTCTAAGGCCCGCAGCTGCTGCAGAGACTTATGGCTAAGGCCATCCACCTGGACCCCGAAAGCCCCAGCGGGCAGCAGGCCCGAGGTGGCAAAATTTCTGCACTTTTGCCCAGCCACCGCGGTGAGCTCACGCAGGCGTTGGCCGCGAAGGCGCGCGGTACGGAGACGGACCTTGCAGTGGGCAGCAGCGCCACTTCAACCGAAAGACTTGCCAGCAGTGAAATCACAACCCAGGTTGGTGGCAACAGCCTGGAGCTTGCCACCTGTACGGCCTAAGGCCGTAGACAGAAGTCTCGCCAGAGAAACGGACGACGCGACAAAAGCTGTTTTTGTCACCGAAGTCCTTGACCTATGTGGTGCAAGCTGTGTGGTGAGCCATGTGGTTCAGACTATGTGGTATGAACCCCGCGCGACCTCAATTAGGGGCAAGTCAATTGCATGGGCGCATCGATTGGCATTGCTTGCCATGGGTTGGCATTGCTTGGCATTGCTTGGCATTGCTTGACATTGTTTGGCATTGCTTGACATTGTTTGGCATTGCTTGGCATTGCTTTGCATGGGCTGGCATTGCTTAGCATTGCTTGGCATTGCTTGACATTGCTTGGCTTTGCTTGGCATTGCCGAAGAGCCCTTGGAACCCGGGGAACCCGAGGAACCCAAGGAACCCGAGGAACCCGAGGAACCCGAGAAACCCGAGGAACTCGAGGAACCGGGGGAACAGGGGGAACCCGAGGAACCCGAGGAACCTCCGAGCAACGGGCAAAGTACATTCCGACGAAGAACACGAGGAACCCAAGGAACCCGAGGAACCCTGGAAACCCGAGGAACCCGAGGAAACTCCGAACAACGGGCAAAATAACATTCCAACGAAGAACACAAAACCAAGGAACCCGAGGAACCCGGGGAACCAAGAGAACCCGAGGAACCCGGGGAGCCTGAGGAACCCGGGGAGCCTGAGGAAGCCGAGGAACACGCGGACGCCGAGGAACCCGAGCAAGATCCAGGGAACGGGCAAAGTTGGGCGCCGAGACATTGAACTCTTAACCAAGTAAGAGCTCCTAGAACCCCTTTTACCTTCGGCAAGCTTAATATTGCCGTCGCTCGAACGTCCACTTCCGATGCACTCTTCGGTTCCGTGCGTGTTTTTGTTGCTCGATGGTCCAGGATGGTCCTGGATTGTTCTCGCCGAGGAAAAATGCACACGTCCGAGCGATGCCAAGTAATCTTAAGTCGGGCCTGTCCCCCTACAGGGGGATTCTCGAAGGGAAAATTAGAAATATATAGCACCCCGCAATTGCGGATAAGAGTGAGGGGGCGGGCGCGGGCGACGCGGGCGTCGTCAAGCCGGCGGACCTCGTGGCCCCCACCTTCCTTGTCGATGGCGCTCTCCTCCTCCTCCTCCTCCTCCTCCTCCTCCTCCTTCCTCCTCCTCCTCCGCCTCCTACTCCTCCTCCTCTTCCTCGTCCTCGTCCTCGTTCTCATCGTCATCGTCGTCCTCCTCCTCCACCTCGTCCTCCTCCTCCTCCGCTTCTTCCTCGTCCTCCCTCTCCCCCCCTCGTCCTTCCATCATCGTCCTCCCATTGTCGTCATGTTCCTCCTCGTCGTCCTCCTCCTCTTCCCCCCCTCCCGATCCTCCACCCTCCTCCTTTTCGTCGTCGTCGTCGTCGACGTCATCGTCGTCGTCCCCTCCCTCCTCCTCCTCCTCCTGCTGCTCCTCCTCCTCCTCCTCCTGCTGCTCCTCCTCCTCCTCCTCCTCCTCCTCCTCCCCTCCTCCTCGTCCTCCTGCAAAAGCAGCCCGCCGCAGGCGCCGAAAAAATTGGTTTGTACACTGAACGTGGTTTGGGTCGCGGGTGGGCCGCGGGTTCTCCACCGGGAACGAATGCAAAAGATGCTCGCCGCAGGCGCCGAAAAAATTGGTTTGTACCCTGAACGTGGTCGCGGGTGGGCCGCGGTCTCTCCACCTAGAACGATTCAAAAGATGCCCGCCGCAGGCGCCGAAAAATGTGGTTTGTACCCTGAACGTGGTTTGGGTCGCGGGTTGGTCGCGAGTTGATCGCGGGGTGGGTCGCGGGCTCTCCACCTGGAAGGAATGCAAAAAAAGCCCGCCGCAGGCGCCGAAAATGTTGGTTTGTACCTTGAACGTGGTTTGGGTCGAAGGTGGGTCGCGGGTGGGTCGCGGGGTGGGTCGCGGGTGGGTCGCGGGTGGGTCGCGGGTGGGTCGCGGGTGGGTCGCGGGTGGGTCGCGGGGTGGGCCGCGGGCGGGTCGCGGGGTGGGTCGCGGGTGGGTCGCGGGTGGGTCGCGGGGTGGGCCGCGGGGTGGGTCGCGGGGTGGGTCGCGGGTGGGTCGCGGGTGGGTCGCAGGGTGGGTCGCAGGGTGGGTCGCGGGGTGGGTCGCGGGGTGGGTCGCGGGGTGGGTCGCGGGTGGGTCGCGGGTGGGTCGCGGGTGGGTCGCGGGTGGGTCGCGGGGTGGGTCGCGGGTGGGTCGCGGGGCGGGTTGCGGGTGGGACGACGACAACAAACAACAACAACAACAACAACAACAACAACAACAACAACAACAACAACAACAACAACAACAACAACAACAACAACAACAACAACAACAACAACAACAACAACGAATCCGCACCGCGGAATCTCACTTCAGCCACGCACCCAGGGACAATGAATGACCGTTCGGCCCCCTCACTCTGACTCAAAAAGTACTCCAAAGATGCTCACAAATACTCTAAAATGATAGTCCCCTGATTATTTTTTGACTATTCTTGAGTACTCCCCCTGTAGAGGGTCAGGCCCGACTTAATTTGTTTTAGTAGCGGCCCGCAAGGAAAAGTCCAGAGGGCGTGGGTACCGAGGCTGGGGCACAGCGCAAGATAATTAGCGCGAGGACGCGCGGAGTGCACATGCAAAGACCAATTAAGGCCACGGCAAGCGTAAGCCAGCGAGGAGTCGCCCTGACGGCGCCAACTCGCGAAGAAACAGGCCCGACTTAAGCAAAGTATGTAAAAGTTAGGCGGCGCAATATCTGCGGCCGCCCAGCGCACGGGGCGCCCACGGGGCGGGCACCAGGCGAGACCTCGCCGCAGCCACCCGGCGCACGAGGCGCCCAAGGCGCCCACGGGAAGGGCGACGGAGGACGGGAGGAGGGAGGGAGGGAGAGGAGGAGGAGGAGGAGGAAGAGGAGGAGGAGGGGGAGGAGGAGGAGGAGGAGAGGAGGAGGAGGAGGAGGAGTAGGAGGAGGAGGAGGAGGAAGGAGGAGGAGGGGGGAGGAGAGGAGAGAGGAGGAGGAGGAGGAGGAGGAGAGGAGGAGGAGGGGGGAGGAGGAGAGGAGAGGAGAGGAGGAGGAGGAGGAGGAGGAGGAGGAGGAGGAGGAGGAGGAATAGGAGGAGGAGGAGGAGGAGGAAGAGGATCCTGGCAGCCGTCCCCCTGGAACCTCGTCGATCATCTCGCCGCCGCCCAGGAAGGGGGGCGCCTCCCGCAGGAGCTCCGCGCGGCCCCAGAGGAAGCCGATCCCAGTGGGTCCGCACATCTTGTGGCTGCTCGCTACGAGCCAGTCCACGCCCATGCGCTGCACATCCACGGGCATGTGCGGCACACTCTGGCACGCGTCCACGAGGACCTTGGCGCCGACAGCATGGGCGCGTTCGGCGACCCACTCCACAGGGTTGACGCACCCCAAGACGTTCGAGACGTGCACCATGGCCACGAGACGCGTCCGCTCGTTCAGCAGCTGCTCGAAGTGCTCCCGGTCCAGCCTCCCCTCTGGCGTCATGCCCACGAAGCGGAGCACCACGCCCTTCTCCTCGGCAAGCTGCTGCCACGGCACGAGGTTCGAGTGGTGCTCCATGACGGTCATGATGACCTCGTCGCCACTGCTGAGGCTGGCCCTCGCCCAGGTGCGGGCCACGACGTTGATAGCCTCCGTCGCGTTGCGCGTGAATATCACCTCGTGGACGTCCGCGGCGTTGATAAATTTCGCGACCTTCTGGCGGGCACCCTCGAACGCCTCCGTGGAGCGCATGGAAAGCGTGTGCATGCCGCGGTGCACGTTGCTGTTGTCCTCGCGGTAGAAGCGCGAGAGCTCGTTCATCACCTGGAGGCCTCCCAAATGGAGTCCGAGTTGATGGGGTCGGAGGATTGCGCCGCATCGCCGATACGTCGCCGATGTATCGGCGATGCATCGCCGACGCATCGGCGTTGCCTCGGCACGATCCTCCGACCCCATCTTGGGGGAACGAAGAACGAAATCAACATAAAAAAATCGGAGGTCCGCGCGGATTTCTCAGATCCACGCTGACCCCCCTGGCGGCGCCTCCGGCGCCGCTTCGCTCCCCTCCATCTGCTCGAACCACACTCCTCCTCCTCCCCCTCCCTCCCCCTCCCTCCTCCTCCTCCTCCTCCTCCTCCTCCTCCTCCTCCACCTCCTCCTCCTCCTCCTCCTCCTCCTCCTCCTCCTCCTCCTCCTCCCTCCTCCTCCTCCCTCCTCCTCCTCCTCCTCCTCCTCCTCCTCCTCCTCCTCCTCCTCCTCCTCCTCCTCCTCCTCTCCTCCTCCTCCTCCTCCTCCTCCTCCTCCCTCCTCCTCCTCCTCCTCCTCCTCCTCCTCCTCCTCCTCCTCCTCCTCCTCCCTCCCCTCCTCCTCCTCCTCCTCCTCCTCCTCCTCCTCCTCCTCCTCCTCCTCCTCCTCCTCCTCCTGGGAGGACCCGCAGCGCCTGGGTCGGCTTCTGCGACGTGGCGGCATTGTCCAGGTAGACCAGGGGCACGCCAGGCCTGGCCTGCTGCCGCAGCACGGGGAAGTCGGCCCGCAGCCGCGCCACGTCGAGCGCCGGGGGCGCCCCGGCAGCCGCGGCGGGGGCCTCCCGCAAGGCGACGACAACGACGACGACCAGCGACGATGACGACGACGACGACGACGACGACGACGACGACGACGACGACGACGACCAACGACGAAGGAGGAGGAGGAGGAAGAGGAGGAAGGCGGGGGGAGAGGAAGGGAGGCGAAGGGGGAGGCTTCACGAGGAGAGGCAGGGAGACAAAGGGAGAAGAGGGGAGGAGGAGGAGGAGGAGGAGGAGGAGGAGGAGGAGGAGGAGGACGAGGAGGGCAGGAGGAGGCCTCCGAGAAGGAGGCGTCCCTGGCCCTGGGGGGGGGGGGGGACGGAGGGCCTCACCGCCACGGCCGCCCGCATCCGCATCGGAATCCTGGCCGGGAAGCACTGCAGGACAGGTCGGTGCGACGAAAACGACGACGACGACGACGACGACGACAAGAGATAAGGGATGAGGAGGAGGACAGTGAGGATGAGGAGGGGGAAGAGGGGGAGGAGGAGGAGGAGGAGGAGGAGGAGGAGGAGGAGGAGAAGGAGGAGGAGGAGGAGGAGGAGGAGGAGGCGAAGGAGGAGGAGGAGAGGAGGAGGAGAGAGGAGGGGAGGAGAGGAAGAGGAGGAGGAGGAGGAGCAGGAGGAGAGGGAAGGGGAGGAGGGGGAAGGGGAGGGAGGAGGGGGGAGGAGGGAAGAGGGAGATGGAGACGGAGGAGGGAGGAGGGGGAGGGAGAGGGAGGAAGAGGAGGGAGAAGAAAGCAGGGGGGCAAGGACGAGGGAGCACGAGGGAGGAGAAGGGAATCAGAGTAGCCCCTCGAGCGGAATGCGTCTGCCCAGGATGTGCGCTGGCTGTCCCCAGGGATCTCCCCTGCCTCCTGAAACCCCTGGGAGCCCGTGGGGAACACCCAGATGCGGAACACACGCGCCCGCGAGCACCCGAAGCCCTCGGTGCTCGACCCCGCAGCGCCCCTGCCCCGCCGAAAAACTTGGAGGGGAAGAGAACGGGGACCACGACCCAGACTGAACTCGGAAACGTCGTGTCGATCTTGGTCAGCGTCGGTCTTGGTCTGCGGAAAAACTCGTGGATCCTCCTCGCGAATCAGCGACGGTCGACAT